GGACCTCGGCCCTGCCGCCAATCCATGCTTATCCTGAGCAGCTCAGTGCTGGGCCGGGCCAGTCAAAAAAGAGAAAAGGGAATTTAAACGTCCACTTAAAGCCACCGGCCCACTGCCACCAGATCCTGAATGACTGTGAGGTACTCTGCTCCTGTCTCAGAAATGCTAACTCTGAAGATGGAGACGGAATGATGTTAGCAGGTGTAATTTAATGTCCACACCATCCAAGGGTAGGTACGTAGATTTACACACATACACACATACAGGTAGCTGGTGAATGCCGCACTGATACAAAAGAGAAATTAACATTTATGCTTATACCATCTTCTTCCTCATGCTTCCAAAAATCTTTCATCCTAGAAGAAAGGCTAAATTGAGTTTAGCGAACTAAAATACATTACGATCTCAAGCACCGGGCTCTCCAGTATCTATTGTAGTATATGAAAAAGCAGGCTTGGTCCTCTTATTTGGTTACAAAGAATTACATCTGGAGCGCTGTGATGATAGCTTCATTAATCTCTCCGAAAACAAACACGGTGGGGGAGAGGGGCGCAGGGGGCCCTCAGCTCAGTAAGCCCAGGACTGCATCACCCCCCTAAGAAGGGCTGTACCAGACTTCAATGGAAGGGCCCCTGGCAAGCACTCCCCGGGTGATTTACACAGGCCTGGATGACGAGGGCAAAGGCATGACTCATCTTGAAATTAAACTATTATAACTAACTTATAAAGCACAACCTTGACAGGCTTAAGTACACTTCTCTCTTAAAACTTTCACAACAAGAAACTGGTAACAGCGTTCAATAAAACACCTACTCGTTTTCCACATCCCTCTGCTCTCGTGTGCCAACTTTTAACATAAATGGGTAGAATTAAATGTAGCCTATAGCTTACCTAACATAATTATATGTTGTGTTTTACACCGTTTCAAAACGGATACATTAAAATAATCCCGTCTTGGCTGCTTCCACTAAAGTCAATAAGGGTGATTAGAGCCAACTGCCACATCCAGTATACCCCAGGGAGAAGCTCTCAGGAAATGCAAGTCAAAACAGTCACGGGCTGGGGTGCACGCAGATCCTTCGGGAAGAAAGCGAGGAGAAGAGCAAGGAGAAATTTCTCTTCAGAAACATAAATCATCATTACTTCTGGAAATATTTACTCTGGAAACTGTTCTAGCACATTCCCGTGGATTATACCAAATGGACATTTTTTTTTTTATGGTGCCAAAGGAAATGAAGAAATGTCATCAATTTAGAGAACAGCACACCTAGCATTCTCTTCTGGAGCGCTGTGAATTTTGATAGTGTTAAAACATTTTTATAGGTAAAATAAATGTCAGTTTTGCAAAGCGCGATACCAGGCCCTCAGAGACGGATGGCCTATCCACTGAATCTCTGGCTACAGCCAGCCTTCCTCACCTCACAGGAGACTCTGGCTTTTCATATTTTCTTTACCCAGAAAGCAAAGCTTGGAAAGCTTCTTTCAAATGGTAACTCCTTCATCCCCTGAAGAGTCGCCTCATAATATGCTAATCTTAGATGTAGGGTGGTGGGCTGGTTTTTAAAAATAAAACAAAATACTGTACAAATATTTGAACAGTGTTAGCGTATTGTAATACCTTCCTGAATGGGGGGGGGGGGGCAGAGAGGCGAGGCCAGACCAGGCTAGGCTAAATTCCTGGGTTATGAGAAAGGGTAATGTTGCTTTGGGCTGCACGGCTCATAAATTCACGAGGTAATATTCAGGGAAAATGCGATATTTTATCAGAATGTCATTCAAATATAAGGTTTAACATTTACATCACAAGAGCAGGCACAGAGTAAAACTCTCCTCGGGGAGAGAAATGGCAAGAATAAACAGCGTGATAAAAACGGTGCTTGCTGGAACAGGGCATGCGAGATAGAAGGCAAGGCGAGTTTTAGAGACAGCTGCCTAAACTTTTTGAAATATGTGACTGGTTATGACCTGTGGAACAATTACCAGGAAGGGAAGAAATGCGATTTCAAAGCTCATTTTCCATTCTTCTTCTAGAGCCTACCTGAGGTTGCACCTTCCCACCGCAAGGTGAAAAAAATAACACAAAGACGGAGAGAAATTACAACACACGTCTCTTCCCCGGTACAAGGGCTGTCAAAGGTTGCTTTACTCATAAGCAAAAGGTGAAACGTAATGTACGTATTGCCTGAGGTTTTCTGTTTTATTTTCTTGCCAAAAGAGATCGATGCTAGGTTGCAGGACAGACAAGACACATTAATTAGAGAAGTCTTTCCAGAACATGCACATGGCTTGACGATTCAAAAAGGGATAAAGATAAAGAAGAATCATTTGTCTGAAACAATAATAATTTTGAGGAATATATTCCCTGGAAGCCAAGTGAATACATTCAGAAATGCTGTTTAGATTAGTCTAATTCTATAGAATCCAAATGTGCAGCAAACACTGCACTTTTTATGTTAAATTGCTGTTGAATTTGTTAACCCACAACTGATTTCCTGTGTTATGAAATCTTGGAGATTACAGCTAACTTGAAGCAACAGGGATAATTCTTGCCAGTTAATGGTAGATTTGCATGCATTTTCCTGAAAGACTAGCTAGCATCTTGGGGCTTCCAACTGGTAGCTCAACATTGCCCCCTACCGTCCACGTCTGGAAAGCGAGGCGGTGGGCCAGTGCCCGGCGGGCTTTTCACCAGCCAGTGCTGCCCGGGGCCACCCCAAGCCCACCCATGCCAGATGGCACTGCTCAGTCAGAGCCAGAGAACCACAGCCCGTCCAACGATTCTTCTCTTCAACCTCAAAATAAGTTATTATGAATTTGTTAAAAGTCATTGAGGAAGGCTTGAAACAACGCTTGAATTTAATTTAGAAGCACCATTCTTTCATCTTGGCCAGAACCTGCACTCGGCTGATAACGATCATCCCGAGGCTGCTGAGAAGAGACACTGAAGCCATTGATTTCACGCAGAACACTTAGTAATGCCACAGCAACGGCAAGGAAACTGGCTCTGGAGAATTCCCAAGATCACTCTTCCTTTTAGCTCTCTCTTACACAAGAGTCACAAAGTAAATAGAACATTTTCCATCCTACGAATGTGCCATCGCCACCAAATGGGAAAAAAAAACAACCACCCTGTAACTCATTCTTTTAAAGGAATTCATCATGAACATGGCCAGGTTTCAGTTTGAAAAAAAAAAACACAACCTTTGAACAAAAGCAATTCAAAATAATTTGTTTTACAAAATCAATGGGCTCTTTTCTCCTGTGTCAGTTCTAGTCAGTGGGGTTGCTGAGTTCCCATCCCAAAGCCAGGCTGGTGAGGTCCAGAAAGGAACCGTGCTAACTCGGTAGGTAAATGAACAAAATCAGAAGGATGAAGTGAAGACACATCCCTGAAACTGAAGCTGCCTTGCAGATACATCCCCGACAGACAGAGCAGCGTCTACACGGGCCACTTCCAGAAACCGACGGAGCAGAGTTGGGCCCAGACTTTTCAGTGCCTCCCGCTCGCTTTTGCAGTTCTGCAGTGATGTGGGCCTTGGAGAAACCCACGTTCTGGGCCGCAGTCCTCTCCCCAGACTCTAACGGGCTCTAGCCACTTGTCCACCACCTTCCAAATCCCAGGTTGGAGCCTGGACAGTGTAGGAGTAACCCTGAAACCTCGGAAGCAATCCTGAGTTTGCACCCTCACCCCACCCCCACTTTGTGGCTGTGTGACCTTGACGAACTTAGGTGACCCTATTGTGCCCCATGGCCTGATTTACAAAAAGGGGTGGGGGGGGCAATAACACTTATAGGCTTGTGGTAAAGTTAAGGAAGTTGTATATAAAAACACTTAGCACAGTATCCTGCAATCAAATAAATGTCACAGAGTGACTCTCAGGACTATTATTCAAATTCAGATTAATTCAACACCTCCAGGTGGCCTCAACTTACCTTCCAGCCCCCTGATTCCTTGCTCTGGATGCCATGTGACCTCGCCAATTCTGATCTTGTTTTTGCATTTCCTGGGGCCTCATGTTCCTCTCCAAATGCCCTCTCCGGCCCCCCTTACCCACCTAACGTCCACAGAAGCTACACCTGCTATTTCATAAGGGGCCTTGGCTTCAGCGGTCTGAACGAAGACTCCCTGCTCTGGTCTGTGGTTTTTATTTTTTCTTCTCTGTAACAAGATTTCATTCTTGCTAATATAACAGCTGGCAGTATCAGTAACTCTCTCTTTGTGAAACTGAATGGCGTGGTGAAGAGAGCAGGCTAAAGAGCCGGAATGCTTGAGCCTCGATCTTGCTCGGCTAGGTCCTCCATGACAGAGCTCTTAGTCTCTGAGTCTCAGTTTTCACATCTATAAGTTAAGACTCCGGCCAGTTTCTGGCCCTCTCCTTGTGGCACAACAGGTTAAAGCGCAGCACTAAGAAGCTAGCCACAACCGCTTCAGCCAGAGTTCAATCCCTGACCAGGGAACTGACCCACATGGCACGGCAGACCTTTCCTGACCTGCCCGTGGCTCCCCTCAGCAGTGGACTTCGTCCATCGGCCTGTTCTGCTCCCCACTCTGCCTCTGGGGAATCCTCTCACCACCTCTGCACCTCTGGTCTGCCCCCACTTCTGTACGCATAAGTAAATAAATCTTAAATAAAAAGACTCCTACTAGTTTCCACACCTCGTGGGACTACTGTACAATCTGAAAAGCTAACACAGGGGAAGCCCTTAGAACAGGGCCAGTGAATCCCTGGACACCAACCCGCTTAGAGACAGAGTTGTCCCACTGCACTTCCCATCGCGAATTGCCAGCATTTTCTGCATGCTCCCTTGCAGCGAGGGAATACTCACTGAATACTCATTGCACCAAAGTGAGGCTGCAACGACAGAATCATGGCTTTCCCATCACCTAACCAAGAATCGTCAAACTCAATAATTTAGAATAAACAAATGTGCATTTTCCTATGCAAACTAGACAGCAGAGGGTTTAAATAGCGCCAGGCCCCAGACCCCAAGGTACTTACCACACCTTCCATCTTCTTCCACTGTTCTTCCAGGTGAGTCATAGGTTGACACCAAAAATCAGTGCACTTTCTGTATCGATTGCCTTGAAACCAAAACTGTCTGAGCCACTCAAACTCAACCTGCAGACGATAAAGATAAAGCAGTGTAATAATGACCTTGCGATAGACAATCAAGGACAATAACTTCATCAATCAATTCTCCTCCAGTAACTTAATAGCCATAAGGTGGAGAGAATGTGTGAAAAGCTCAGCCTAACCAATTCCCAATATAACCCGGAGTCTCCAGAGCATTTTTGCAAAGCCAAGAAAATAGTAGCCTTAGAACTGAGGTCCTTTTTAGCAAGATAATCTAGCTCAGGCTGGAGACAGGCTTTCAATCACATTTGCTAGTCAGACATGAGGAAACTATAAGTCAATCAACAGTAAAAACTACTGAGATCCTAGAGTATAAATAGCAGCCTGTAGTATATATGTGATGGGATAAAATCAAACAAATTATATTTTTTAATTAAGCATTTTTACTGAATACTAGTATGAAGAGTCAAATACTGATACCTATGAGGAGAGGTCAGGTTTACATTGCTTAGACTATAATAAAGAATTTATCCATGGGCTGGTGATACTCTCAATTCATATAGCCAAACACTAAAAACAACACAATATGCACTAAATCCACAGCAACATTCAAATTCTCACTTCTTCAGCTCAGGGCAAAGAACCATAGCTACATAATAGGTAATGAGTTACTTCCTTCCTATGAACCTGCTATGCAAACCTCAATGATTTGCCCCATTAGCATTCCACCTCCTGTTCTAGCAAAATTCTTTCATATACTTGCTAATCTACCCCCTTCCTCAGTCTCAGTCCAAAGAGTCTGGATGGAGTTCAGCTCACTACGGTAGAAGAAAAATTTCACCCAAATCTGAGCCAATCGGTCCATAATTGGACTAGTCACAGAATGGAGTTTGAGGTGAATAAACATATTTGCAGAGTAAATTTTGAGACTGTCAGAAGGCACTGGAAGAGAACATTGCACCCATTCAGGCCCTGGGTTGGAAGAATAGAGACTTCGTTTGCAATAACTAAAAACCAGGTGCTGGTGACCTCAACGGACCTTGATCAAACTGTTCCTGAAGTCCATATTATGTAAGCCAATTGAAGTTAAGTTTTCTATCCCTTGAATGTGAAATGATTCCAACATATGTAGGTAAAGAGTGGCGTAAATCTTAGGAGAAATACATTGTTTCCTGTCTTTCAAGTCTTCTATCACTATCTTCAACTTGAAAATCAAGGACGTCTCCACTTATTCCCAAAACTCAACTCTGCCCTCTTAAAAAAAAAAAAAAAAAGTAAAGCTTTCACAACTTAATGTTGGGTCAACTGGCTTTGCTAAGGTAATCATGTTCCATATACAGACCCAGAGCCATTATAATCTTCACCTGTTACCACAAAGAATTTTTTTGTTTGTTTATCCATATTGAACTTTCATGAGGCAAACAAAAGCAACTTGTGAAGATTTAACCATGGTGAAATTGGCTCAAATAACTAACCTGAGAACACCAAGTTATATGAAAAGGTTTTAGTTTACATTAACTAATGTTTGTTTGATATGTAGAACTGATTTCAGTTAAAGCTGTTTAAACAAAACAAAACAAAACAAAGGAATATAGACAATATTAAGACAATAGTTGCTAAACTTCATCTGCGGTTTTAAAAGACAGTGGTTAAGAGAATGAATGGAAGTGTAGTCCAACTTCTGTGAAGAGACAAGCTTAACATTATTTGTAACAAGAAAAAAAAGCTCTTTTTAATAGCTTTCACGTGAAATCCGTTCACACCCTAGGAAAGGTCTACTGGCCAAGCATCACGAATCACAATCTACGTTAGGGAGCACTGAAAAGATCTGAAAGGATTTTAAAGGTTTTTTTGTTTGTTTGTTTGTTTTTATCTTTGAGTTTGTTATAACCATTGACAAGGCAGGTAAGTCTTGGGAGCCATGGTACAGCAGGAAATAAAATAATTACCACCTAGAAACTGTGTACTCACCCTCACCTGAGTCTGGACTTCCATAGATGAAAACACAGAAGCAAGTCAGGGGCTACCTGGCAGATTCAGCGATCAGATTAGGGAGCAAAGAAATGACCCCTGTCCGTGATCGTAAATCACAATTTCCTCTTCCTACTCCAAGGCCCAACTCTCTTTTGAGGCAAACAGAGTCACAGATAAAAATAAGTGCTCTGGAATCCATTCAAAACTATGCTCGGCTCCTGAATAGCTATGTCATCCGTAAAATAAGGATAATTATAGAATAACCACATAGGCTTGTGGTGTGGATTACGCGGGTTAATAGTGAAAGGCCTGCTTGCCAGGAACTCAAGAGATGTGCAGGAGAGACTGAACAAGGCCACAGGCCTAGAACGTACTGCCTTCAAGGATCTCCCAATCTCATGACATTTTGTGAGCAGGAAAGTTTTAACATTCAAATCGACTCATGTCCAACCCTCTTTCACTGAGGCCAGTCTGAAAAGTTCAACACTGAGAACTTGCTCCCTGCAGAGTTTTAGTCATGTTCCCACGGGACACATTCCCTGGGGCCTCAACAGCGCTGGCATGCATTTCCTTCAAGTCCAGAAACCTGTCTTTCTCTTTTCGATCTCGCGGGTGACATCTATTACGGACTTGACTCAAACGCCACCCTCACCCCTTCCCCCATGGCCAAGAGGAGATGTTGGCTCCTTCCTTAAGTGAATCGAGGAAGCAGAAAATGTTTCCAGCTGCTTGATTCAGAGTTTGTGTTACCACCAAAACTGAAAAAGCAAACAAAAACAGTTCTTAACTCCTAAGCTCTGGGAAGGAGAAAGGAAGGATGAACATTCAAACCAAAATTCAAAATTCAGACCAGAGTGGGTGCCTCTTTATTTCAAGGCTAAAACAAACAAAGAAAGCAAGCGTAACCACTGTCCCCCTGAGAGTTCTAATCGTGACAGGTCTGCACCCTCCTGCTGCAGCGAACCCTGCAGGAGGCCCCGGCTGCTGCTGCGTGCGGGGTGCTCCCTGGTTCCACCGCAGGCCGACAGCGCAGGCGAGGCAAGACACTTGTGGCCAAACCTGCAGACTGTGGGCTTGGGCTTCCGCACGCGCCATTCTTCAGTCTTTCGGGCAATCCTAACACAAAGACCAGGGAGCACACAGAGGGCGCCCGGGCACGCAGGGCCTGGAGGGGCCTTCCGAATCATCAGAGACAACTCAAAACACATCCATGACAGTGTGAGCTTCAGTGCTGTGACCCCGAAACCCCCTCTGTGGCCTTAACTGCATTGCCTTCTCCCTGGAGTAGACAAAAAGGAGATGGCTCAAGAAAAGCTTTTCTCCCAGAGCTGTCTAGGTTTTGCCTGAAGGAGAAGAAAGTCCGCCCGCCTCAGATTGGGGATCCAGGCTCATCCTCATACCACCTGGCTGCTGCAACACCCTGCAAAGGAAGCCAGTCCTGTCGCCCCGCAGGTGAGCTGACTGCTACCTGCTTCTCCTCTGCTGGGTTAATCTCGGCTCTTGCCTTGGTCCCTGGAGACCTCACGCATGAGTCCCTGAGTCATGGGATAATATGCCCACGGGGGTTCACGTCTCACTGGAATACGTGAAATAAGGTATTGTCAAGGAGGATGGCTTAGACCAGCGAGTGGTGCTGAAGCCCCATCTGCAAAGAGCTGGCTGTGAGGGTCAGTGGTGCTCACAAACACACACATCTGCTCAGACAGGACGAGCACCAGCCACACCTCACAGCACACTGTTCTAGGGGAAATTTATTGGCTAGGTTCAAAGGCTGAATTTCCATTATGTTATTTTTTTTTTAAGATTTATTTATTTATTCATATAGAGCTGGGGTACAGGCCAGAGATGTGGAGGGTGAGAGGCTTCACCAGAGACAGAGTGGGGAGCAGAACAGGCAGATCCACAAAGTACACTGCTGAGGGGAGCAGCGGGCGGGTCAGGAGAGGTCTGCCACGCCATGTGGTCACCTCCGGGGCAGGCGGGGATCGAACTCATGCGGAAGTGGCTTTAGATTCTCAGTGCTGTGCTTTAACCGGCTGCGCCACCAGGGAGGGCCTCCATTATGTTATTTTTAAGAAGGAAAATAGAATACTTAAATAACACAGAGGAGATGCTGCTATGTAAGCAGGCAGACTCTTGTCTAAGCACCTTCCATCAAGAAAATAAATATGAAGGTACCTCGTTGCAATTCCCATACTTCCCAAGTGGGTTACTTAGAAACCATCTATGACAAGGAAAACAAGTCCACACAGCCTGAAAGCCTTGCAGTGTGTCAGACCCAGGGCTTTATCCTGTAACTTATCTAGCAACACAACATGGCCTTTAGGAATGAGGAAAACTCACACAGTAAGAGGGGCCTCCCTGGTGGCCTAGGGGTTAGGTCTCAGTGTTATCACTGCTGCGGTCTGAGTTCGATCCCCAGCCAGGAGTGACCCACAGGGCACAGCAGACCTCTCCTGTCTCCCCGCTGCTCCCCCCAGCAGCATCCTTCAGTAGATCTGCCTGTTTTGCTCCCCACTCTGTCTCTGGGGAGTCCCCTCACCCCCTCGCCTAAACCCCAGGTCACCATTCCAACGACTTGGGCTCTTGCTTAATAAATAAACACAGTAGAGAGTGAGGAGGCAAGTGTTCAGTCCAGGCCAGCTTGCATGAACAAGAACAGCATCTGACAGTGTGTCCTAACATATGGGATTAATTCTTACACTGAGGAGATGGCCTTAAAGAATCAAAGACAGGGGCAGGGGTGCAGAAGCTGACACACATGCTATAGAGATTCTAGATTTCTCTGTGCATTCAACCCTCGTCTGGACTCAAGGAGCTAAGGTTCCTTACACAGCTCTGCCCCACTTCCCACACGCGCAATGTCAGAAGCAGACAGCCATTCTCTGAAGCAGATGTGTCCAAATGTCTCTCTTCTGCTAGATGCAAGCAGTGTAATTTCACAGATTTCCCCCCACCCACTGGTCACAAGACAGTTACAGATGACTATCTTATGTACAGTCAGTCACTGATGAAAACCAGGAAAGGCGGGGATTCACAACCCACACCCTGTTGATGAGAGCAACTGGTTGAGTGAGCCTGACTTGCAGAACGCCAAGGCTTCCAGACTAGAATTTCTTGACTACCAATATGGAAAAAGATGTAATTTTGCCCCCAAATCTAATTTAGTGCGGTCACGAGGCCACAAGCCTTCTCTTTCCTGAGGTGCTAGCTATTAGCAGCATCGTGAGCAAAAGCTAATGAGAGCCAAGGTAGCACCCTGGTCAGTCACAATGAAAGCAGGAAGCCAGCCCTGAGTCAGCTTAGCATAGGTGAGTAGAGTTTCCCTGGAAGGCAACAGGCCTTCACCTGTGGTCTAGAGGTTATGGCCATTTGCCAAGTTGCAAGGACAGTCACATAGTAGACATCTTGGAGGACAGAGTTCTCCCTTCAGAACAAAGAACAGATTTGCTAACAGACTTGGAAGATGAAGCCAGCCAAGGACAGAGTTCTCCCTTCAGAACAAAGAACGGATTTGCTAACAGACTTGGAAGATGAAGCCAGCCAAGGACAGAGTTCTCCCTTCAGAACAAAGAACGGATTTGCTAACAGACTTGGAAGATGAAGCCAGTGTCTTAGTTGGCAGCGAAGGGCAGACACCCTGCTATCAAAGATTCAGGGTCCTTAGAGTGCAGTTTCCTCTTCTGTACTTTCTGGCCTGCTCTGCATTACCCTGAAGAAACAGGGGCCCGGAGAATCTGCTCCTCTGGCTATCCTCACCATCCACAGAGTATCCTTGGTCTCTGTCTGGTGTCCATCTTAGACCTGTGTGGTATTATGGCAGGTGAACTCGCCTGCTTTAAGTGGGAAGGGACGTCAGACCTTTCATGAATGTTCTCACCTCGTTGTGGATGTCTTCTCCTTGTTTCAAAACTGCAGGTTCCAAAGACTTCAAAGAGACATCACCATTGTCCGCCTCATCATGAACATTCTGCAGACCCAACTGGCAGCGCTGGAGGATGTAGTCCAGCGTCCCGGTAGAGCACTGCGGAGACAGGGCAGGTAGTGAAGACCAGGGCTGGGGCCAGGCTGACCATGGCTGTCTTCTAGGAATGTCTACACACTCACCGCCACCCCCTTCCAGAAGAATCACCATAGCGGTTTGCCTACTGGGCTTTGTGCTGCCAGCTCAGTCTCACCTGGGCGACTCCTCTGGCTGGCATCTGCCTATCTGTCTGTCTATTTATTTTGGACATTTGTGGTAGCATCTAGAATTGAGTCTACATTTGTGGTAGCATCTAGAATTAATTAGCTAATTAAGTAGCTAATGAGTAACCGACAGTTCAGGGGCACTAAGTTTATCTCCGGTGCCCTGATCTTAACAATGAGAAACAGAGGTAACCGCACTAACGAACTAGATTGAAAGGACACAACACAACAGTAATAGTAGAACAAATAATAGAAGTTATAAACAGAGGGCAGAGAGCGCACATTCCTTTTCTGCAAAAAACGTGGGTACACATGAGTAGCTGCAATCCTCAGCAAAATCGAGTCTTCCTATAGTGGGGGCTGTGTGACCCTAACCCTAGCCCTCAAGTGCCAAGGCAAAACTTAGTGTCTGGGCATCAGCCAGGGCACAGACAGTGAGCTCATCCTTCTCTGAGTGTGACGAGACACAGCAGAGGTCAAATGGACAAAGCCCTTTGAATGCTCATATGTTAAAGGAGGATGCACGTGGCACGTGCACCCGTGTGTTTTGATAATGACTTGATTTCCTAGAGTGATAAAAAAGCAAGTTATAAATGTCCTTTCGACCCCATGGGGGAAATGCATTCTTAAAGCATTTTGCTTTTAATATTTATAAATTAAGCTGATTCTACAGAAATGACCTTGAAGGCTAACCCCCACTACAAAATTTTTGCACAGTTACTATTATTTTATACCACATGACATGGGTGAGTTTGGGAAAAACAAATTTTCTTTGCCAAAAACAGAAGTTTGCTTAATGACATGCAGATTGCTGAGTGATGGGAGCAGAAAGGCAGGCTGCTGCCAAAAATAGAGGGGAAGGACCACTCGCTCTGGCCCCAGTCGACCCTACGTCATCTTCTTAAGTGACATTCAGTCAGTAAGTGTATTCCACGTGCACCTTTAATTTTCCAACTATTGCATGACCTTCAGAAGAAACTATTAATTGCAAGGCCATTTATTTTAATAAAGCCTAGACGCACCCTAAATTTCCCACCAGCAGAGAAGCAGTTAAATGAACTCCACTGGGTTCCTATTTTCAGCCAATGGGGGAAATAAAGGAAAGTAGAAAAATCTGTATCTGCATATATAGAACTTTATTTGATGTAAGTACCAGGTCTCTTGTTTTTAATCCCATGAGCTCTTTTTTTGAGAGAAATTTACACCATAAATTTTGCAAAATGAAAGTGTACAATTCAAAGCTTTTTTCGTCTATGCACAGATTGTGTAACTTCCACTACAATTAATTTTAAGACATTGTTGTGACCCCAAAAAGAAGCCCTGGACCCTCAGGCACACTCCATTCCAACCTTCCCAGACCTAAGCAAACCCCTAATCCACATCCTGATTCTGTACAGCTGACTAATCTGGAATTTCACCTAAATGAATTCATACTTTATATGCTGTTTCATAAAAGAGTTCTTTCTGTTAGCATAAAATTTTCAAGGGTCATCCATATTGTGGCATGTATCACGATGCAGGCCCTTCTGTGGCCAAATAATATTTGACTGAATGGAGAAGTCATTTTGCATACCATCAATTTATGTGTTGACACTTTGTATTGTTTCCACCTTCTGGACATTACGAATCCAGCCACTATGAACATCGATCTTCAGTCTTTCCCTGGAATTGCTGGGTCATCTAGTAATACCTATTTAACCTTCAGAGGGAGCGGTAGGCTGTATTCCAAAGTGGTTATACCATTTTATAATCTCTCCAGCAATACATAGGGCTTCGAGTATCTGTACATACTCATCTAGTGTCTTTTTGATGGTAGCCATTCTGGTGGGTGTGCAATTATACCATTTTATGGTTTGGGGGAATTGCAGGGAATTGCATTTCTATGTCTTCTCTGAAGATACAAGTACTGAGATCCTTGCCTTTTTATTTTTTTTTTTAAGTGCAGGTTATTTATCTTTTTAATTGCTGAACTATGAGCCTCCCTCATGGTCTAGGGGCTAAGTCTCAGCACTATCACCCATTGCAACCACTGAGTTTGATCCTGGGCCAGGGAATTGACCCATGATGTGCAGCAGACCTCTCCTGTCTCCCACTGCTCCCCACTCTGTCACTCTCATGCTTCCCACCACCCTCCACACCTAATACCCCAGCTATTCTACATAAAAACAACTTTTTTTTTTTTAATTAAAAAGTTGCTGAGCTACAGGAGTTCTTTTATATAGTCTGGATACATGTTCCTTACAAGAAATGTAATTTGCAAATTATTTTTGCAATGATTTGTCTCTCTACTTTCTTGATAGTTCCCTATGAAGCATTAAAGTTTTCAAATCTGATGTGGCCCATTATCTCTAGTTTGCCTGTGAATGTTTGTGATTTCAGTGCCATAGCTAAAAAAAAAAAAAAATTCACTGCTATTTCAAGTACTTGATACTGATAAGTAATTATCACTATGATTCACGAAACAAAAAGTGTAGAACAGAGCACAGATAAGGTTAGTATTTGCATTAAAATATTTTTAATTACCCACATATTTGCTTGTGTATGTCTTGAATATCACTGAAAGGATAACAAGAACCTGATAACTGTTGGTTGCCTCTGGGGAGGTGGAGCTGGTTGGCCTAAGAAGAAAGACACTTGAACCGTACACCCTGAGGTATTCTGAATTTTGAAACATTTGAATAACTATCTGTTCAAACTGTGATTATACATAAAAGTTAGGTTTAAAAAAAAATCCTATGTTGAATTCCAAGAACATTCTGTCACAACTAGAAAAAAACTAAATCAAATAAAGGCTGAGCTTCATGAGCCATAATTAGTCATATGCAACCAAAACACTGAATAGATCTCTTCCCTGATTAACGAAATGAATTTCAAAACATCGTTTCCTTCAGACAATCTGTCTCCTATGTCTTGTGAATAGGCAGAAAATAGCACATCACCTTGTTTGGCACAGGTTAGGCGGTTCATGTTAATATGGCATGAAGGAGGAGGCCTCTGAAGAAGAGGGGGAGGCTGTGAAGTTGTGTGGATTTTTCCCCTCTTTTGTTGAGGAAACAATAATGCAACTTTTGTGTTAGGGGAAAAAACCTTCCCTTGTATTGAAGATCTGAATATAAAATAATGTTAGAGGAAAGCATCACCTCACCTAAACCATCTCTCAGGTATTTTTATTACCAGTGACTGGTAATCCTCACAGAGGCAGTCAGTATATACTTGTTAATGTGTGTGTGCTGTTCACTGCTTGTTCATAAATGCTCAAAGCTACCTTTCCAGCGGTGTTCGTGGAGGGCACGTGCAACCATCTAGCTACCTCGTTCCCGTGTTACAAAGCACATGGGGCCACTTTTCACAGCTACCGGTAGGGTTAGATAAACAGCTTTACTTACGTCCACATGCGCACGCTTCTGTGGGATTACTTCCTGGGTTTTACTCCCCCAAAATAGTGTTTTAAGACCAGAGATGTGAGTATTTTTGTGCCACTACAGACATATCCCCACACCGCTTTTCAAACGTGTACCAACTGGACAAACAGCCAGAAGAGTAGGCAGGTACCAGTTTCTCCACGACACTACAAGCACTGAGTATAACCACCTTTGCCTCTCTAAGCCATGCAGGGTCTTGTAAAGCACAGTTACTTCAAAGTGAAGGAGGAGGGAAGATACCAGAAGAATAGGCCTGACAGTTACACACTGAAAGTGAACCACAGGAAAAGGACTCTTGTGAGGGTCAGAGCATGGTCGGCTCAGGGTGCATGGCACAAAGAGAAACAGACTTTTTGTACAAAGCAAAGCACCTATACGCTACTTACAAATGCTTGCTCAGGCGCCCCCTTCCTTACCCCCCTCCTTCTTCTCTTTGTCCCTTTCTCTCTTCCCTCATTTCCTTGTTTCCACTTTTTTTCCTACTTCCTTCCCCCCTCCCTTCCTTCCACTTAGGTCTAAGATGATCATGTGTGTATGTGTTTATTATTTTTCTCCCCAGCTAACATGGACGTTTGCCAAAGGTAGGTGCCACTGCTGTCAAAATCAACTCTCTGGCCTATGTGGCAGGGCCCGTAACAGGGACGCAAATGCTTAGGGGAAAGAGTCGGGGGGAGAGAGGAGAGACAGGAGATGAGGAAAAGAGGGTAAGGAAGGCTTGATCTGCTGCTGGCATCTCGATGGACGCAGACACTGCTCCGTAACATGGCCGGTCCACGGAGACATGCTACTGGCCGACATCCTGGTGGTGCAGGGTTAAGTCTGAGCACTGTGAAGCTGCTGCCAGATGCTGAGTTATGTCCTCGGCCTGGTCAGGGAGTGACCCACAGGGCACAGCAGACCTCTCCTGTCTCCCCGCTGCTCCCCTCAGCGGTAGATTTCAGTCGATCTTCCTGTTCTGCTCCCCACTCTGTCTCTGGTGACTCCTCTCACCCCACACCCTGCACCCACTCTGGCTTGCACCCAGCTCTTCTCAAAACTAAATAAAAATAAACCTTTTTTTAAAAAAGTATTGACACTAACTTACATCCTCCCACAGTCTTAGGACTGAAAGCATTAACCCAAGGTTCATGCCCTGCTCCCCGGAGCCTGGTGGAAAGTGGCTGTCGCTGTCAAGGACTAAGTGTAAGTACTAAGCCTGGGTGTGGAGCCCACTTGCCATCCACTAGCCTAGCTGCTCTCCCCTCCGGGGCCCCGCCGAGCGCACACACCCGGGGACTAGCAGGGTGCCCCTCCTCTCCTAAGTATCCGCTCTGAACTGATGCGCTCAGCGGATCGTGAGTCACTGAATTCAGTCAGCATCGGCTTGTGGCATAATGGGAGGCTCAGAAATCCCTGGGCAGCACTGCAGCTTTCTCCTTAATCTATAGTCGCACGAGCAGAAGCCGAGCTAGGGGGTCAAGCCCGGGCAAAAGAGATTCTCAAACCCCGCACACAGCGCCCACCCCACAGATCCGCACAGGGCTGGACCTCTCGCTCTCTCACCCATGATGGGTGCACACTCCGCAGAAATCTCTCAGCTAACACCTGCCAGCAGCACTTACCTTCTCCAAGAAACCTAAGCCAGAGGAGCAAAATGTGCGTATGCCATGCTGTGAAAGTATTCTGAAAATGATCCAACCCAACGTGAAGCTAAAACAGCAAGTAAATGGAGGCTAAAGTCAAGTTAGAGGGAAGCGATTTTCCTACCAAATCCACTTCCAAAGCACTATGATGAATTGCTCGCTCACCTACTTCTGTCGCATCCAATTAAGTTTGATTCGCCTTCTTATTTACACTTACCTCTGCCACTCGGTGGGTAGAACTAAACCGAGGTGGTAAACCAGCCAAAACACAGTGTTGGTGGGTGGCATTGAGATCATCTGCAAGAAAAAATCGCCCAAAATTTAAAAACACACCCGCTGACGAGTCAGCACGTACCATTTAACGAACACGCAAAGTAAACGGTCAATCGGTCACTCAGAAAGGACGGCAACACCAGGGAATTAGTAGTGACTTTTGCATTCTTTAAGCCTTTGTAAGTATGATGCCTTCATAGATACGTATATACGTGTAATATCATGATGCTTTGAGGAGCGGAAGGGAGAGCTTAGGAATGGCTGTCCTGGGACAGCAGGCGCACGCCTGGACCGAGCCCGGCACATGGGCCATGGCTAAGCGGGTCGGTACGCTGGTGACACCCACAAGACACGTCACCACCTTTCATACCAGATGCTTCCTTGTGTCCCTGTGTCATGCGTAACTAAGATCTGTGTGTGTGTGTGTGCTATTCTAGACTTAAGCAACAACAGAAAAATGTAAATGAAATTTTGCATGCACGGGAAACCAAAAACCTCACGCGACTCATTCTACTGAGCTATTTACTTCATTGCAGTGGCCTAGAGCCGAAGTCACGCGTCGCTGGGGTGGGCCTGTACAACCTCTACATAAGAGAGGGACCGTGAGATGCCAACTGATGAAGTCCCGCTTCTGGACGTTACAGAGAGGCGGACAAGATTCACAGGAAGTAGAGCCAGAACAGGAGACAAGAGGCTCCTACACTGGAAAACAGGGCGGGGTGTAACCCCAAATGTAAGAAAAGAACAAGAGTGGGCGCTGTTTTCGAGGGAACGAGTAAGGAAGGGGAAGTCAGACCCGATGTTCTGCTGTTGTTCCTGCTGGGCTGAGTTCTGCCCTCACAAAGAGTATTACATTATGATGGGAAAGACAGTTAGTAAATATATAATGCATAGGAGAAAGCCCAGTGTGGAATGCTGTGGAGAAAATAAAGGGTAATTTAACAAGAGTTGGGGGGGAGAAGGGAAGAGTTTGCCACTTTACACAGAAACAGTCGATATTTGAGGTAAGAGGAGGCCTGAAATCGGACTCCCTGGTGACCTAGAGGTTAAGTCTCAGAGCTATCAATGCTGCAGCCTTCAATCCCCAGCCAGGGAACAGACACACATGGTGCACCAGACCTCTACTGTCTCCCCACTGCTCCCCTCAGCTCAGCAGTAGATTTTGATAGATCTGCCTGTTCTGCTCCCCACTCTGTCTCTGGTGAATCCCCTCACCACCACCCCTCCCCCCCCACACACACACACCTCTGGTCTATACTGCAAAAAAAAAAGATAAATGAGATGAAGCGTGCAATGCCAGATCTGGATGAGAGAATTCCAGGCAGAGAAAGTAGGCAGGGCAAAGGCACCGAAGTACGAATGGGTTTACTGGACCTGAAGGAAATATGTAAGTGGGGCGGCAGCAAGGGCAGCAAGTTGGAGAGAGAGAGAAACTGGGCCAACTGGGGAGTCTTCTCTGTGGCTTAGTTACCCCACAGTAGCTTACAGCATGAGCTTTAGATATTTCAAGCAGGAGGGAAAAACAGGATGCCAGTTTGAACAGGCTGCCCAGCAGCTTCATGGGAAGCAAAGGGCACTGGGAGGCAACCAGGTAGGAGGCGGGAGACAGGAGCAGCTGCCATGACCCAAGCAGGGGCTGATGGAGACCTGCACTCGGTGACAGCAGGGGAGATGGAGAGTAGCGGTCAGATTCAGACTGTTTCAGAGATGACATGACTTGGTAACGGGCTGAATAGGGGAAATGAGGGGAGGAGAGAAATCAAAGCAACTTTTGGGGTCTCCACAGACACAGCTAAGTTAAGATGAGCTAAGTCCGGAACACGAAGACACCACCCAAAAGGTGAGACGAAGGTGAGGTGAGGATATGGATGTCCAGGGTACGTGGAAATATGAAGACAGCGGGGAGGCGAACGCAGAGGGTCAAAGCAGGCCCAGCCTCTGTAGAAGTGTGGCTTAGTGCTGCACGCCAAGGAGGACCAGCTGGCCCCAGCTGGCCCTCTCTGCCACGCCAGTTACAGACACGCCTGAGAATTTCTGGTTGATCCAGACTATTTTGCTTAACGGAGATTCCAGAGTCCAGCAAATATAAAATAACAGTTAAAAAAAAAAAAAGCAGAGACTGAAGAAAGTCCCTCCAGTCAGATTCCCAAGCAGGGTTGACACGATTTCTAAGAAAGACAGAGTGCCTGTCTCATCTGCCCATCATGGCTGCCTTGCTCCCTTGTTCTGTATTTCTACTGGGGTGCACAGACACCTTGGGGGGACAATGATCTCCATGAACAGAGTTGTTAAGTGCTTTGTTCCATGGAAGAACAACAGGTCTGAGGCGGGACGATGGGCAAAGACAACATAAAAGTGACACTGAGGGGCTGGGGCGCTGACTGAAGCCCTTGGTAACTCTCCTCACACACCCTTTTGGAGACTGGTTTCAGGTGTCTCTAATCCTCCGTGACTTCTAGAACAAACCCTGTAATTTTCACTGAAGAGCTTCTAATGTATCTAAAACTCCCGAGCCTGTACAAGTAGCCCAGACTCTACAGACTGTACCTCTCAAAAGACAAACTGAAGATAGTCCCTGCTTGGAAAGACTACTCGGAGTCGTTTTTAGGAAGAGAACATCTAAAGCATATTTGTTGGTCCCAGGTATCTCCGAATGCAGCTAAAACCTGACTAACTCTGTAGTCAAGGATAGTCACGTGGAATCAGTTTGCAGAATGTAGCCGAGAATATGAATGGAAAAGCAGCTCTTGCTCTATGCTGCCTAACCTCCGCCTGTCCTATCAGTGGGTGCTCAGAGCTCCAGCCAGTCACTGTAGCATGAAATCTCACCTCATATTTAGAAGACTGCAGGTGCGAAAGCACAAAAGCTCGTGCCCGGGACTATTCTCGAGCCCCACTCCCGCAACACAAGGGAGGACACTGGTCACCCTAAATTTAACTCAGCCCTGACTTCCTTGCTTTTGTCGCCCAATATATCACCCGGGCTATTTCACCCCAAATTTCTTAAAACAACAATCAGGAGCTTTGCTAACGGCACTCCTGAGCTAAATCAGCCCAATACTGAAATCCAATCTTCCCAGTTTCACACAATCACTGAAGCCTTTCATCCTTACTCACCTGTCCATTCTCATCTCTCAATCTTAATATTTATGACCTTATTTTTCCTAGACATGGGGACATCCATGACTGAGAACATTTTCAGAATTTAATAGCCACTGGGGGGGGGGGGCTCCCTGCTGGATGTCAGTGGAGCCTCGGGCCTGACCATGCCTTATTCCTAGATTCCCAATGAGAGGATCGATGGAATATGGAATTAACACAACTTCCAGCACTAAATACCAAGGGCAGGTATTTACACCTTGAATATTCCAGGAACTGCAAGAAGTTGGGCTGGATTCAGGAAGGAGCAGGGAGGTCGGGAGGACAGGGTAACTTTAAGAAGGGAAAAAGAAAGGTGGAGTGTGACTATTTATTCAGGCTTGTGCCTGACAAATACACCTAGTGACCTGAAGAGACGGGCTCAGCTCCTAACTCAGAATGTGAAGGGTGAAGGCAGGAGGGGCCCTCAAGGGGGGAGCTCTGTGCACACAGCCTGTGATGCCCCCACCCCCAGGGTGTGCTTCAGCTAATAAAGAAGATAAGAAAACTCGAGCGCATATAAAACTACTTAGGAAGTGGGCAGAAGAGTTCAAAGAGTAAATGTCAAGGAAAAATACGACATCTCTACAGAAAACTGGACAGAAGACCATCCATCGATCGACAGTAACAGAGATGTAGGCAAGTGACCAAGCAACAAGGAAAATGTTCAACCTCAGTAAAGAAAGAAATGCAATTTAAAACACCGGTACGGCATGCTCAAGCAAAATAGTTTCATGGCAAAAGTAGTTTTAAATTATAGCACTCAAAGGATTGTCTAGAGGCCAGCTGGCAGAAGTAGCTACAGCCCCATGTCAGTCTCTTCAAACAGGGAAGTGCCTTGAACACAAGCTCTCTGGACAACAACGGCCTTACAACACAGAGGATACAGCTTTCAAGTATTCCGTAATCTCCTTCTGCATCCGGGTATTCCACTGCTAGTGATTTTTTTCTAGAGAAATAATGTATGAAGATGTTTACCAGACCATATATATAAAACCATATATATATATATATGTGAGTCCCCTACTTCTGGTTGTTGAATTCATTTCTAGGGTTTTCAGATTCTATATTTTGTATAAAATGAATATTTCACCTATTTTTAAAAATCACATCTCAAGAACTATTAATAAGGAAAAAATGTCCAAGGTACAAAAAGATCGAAAATGAGACAAAAAGTACCTAGTATGTTACTTTTCTAAAAAAAGAAAAACAACTATGTTCCCAAGTATAGGGGAAAACACACTAGAAGGACTTAACACAAACAGCTGTGAAAGCTGCTCTCCCCTATGTAGGGAATTCTCCACAACAGGCATGAACCACATTTCATTCATTGCAAGATACACATTATTTGTTCACATTTGACATCTCTAACATTGAAATACTAAAATCGGTGGCATTTCTGGCTGAATGATATGGATTGTTACTTTTGCACTCTGAGGGAAAAAAAATAAAACAATAATTATCATTTTCAAAGCCCCAAAGGGAAATGTTCAATGAAGAGATCCTCAGAAAAGAGGTATGGATCCCCCCAAAACCCCCTAGCTGCCATTAGTGGAAACAGTAAGAGTTCTGATTAGGATGGTTTCAGTCATAGCAGGAACATAAAGGATCAGGAGGAAAAAAAAAAAGCAATTGTAATAAAGAAAAAACAAACCAAAAATGAACAACTATATATGAGACATTTTACAGGGGTGGAATGGGGAATAGGATCAAAAATGGGGTGGGGCCCTCCCTGGTGGTGCAGCGGGTTAAAGCACAGCACTAAGACGCCACTTCCGCATGAGTTCGATTCCCACCTGCCTTGGAGGTGACCACATGGCGCAGCAGACCTCTCCTGTCTCCCCTCTGCTCCCCTCAGCAGTGCACTACGTCAGTCGGCCTGTTCT